GATCTATTGGTTAGAAAAAAAGATTCACAATATTACTGCTTATTCATAACACACCTGCTTACCCAAAACTCTGATGGATGTGTACAAGAAGATTTAATCTTTTCATACCTGATAATGGAAATTCACTCTATAGTCCATGGATTGAGGAGTAATTTTAACTTTTAAAACTTATTATCTAAAAAAAAACATTTTGGAAGGCTATAACTGACATAGATAGTAATTCCTGTGATGGATCTGAGCAAAGTAAACTGAAAACCTTCTGGAAAGGATTCACTGCTCTAGATGCCATTAAGAATATTTGTGATTCATGCATGGGCAGTGGTTAAAATATCAAGAACAGAAGTTGGCTTAAACCTTTATGGATAACTTCAAGGGGTTCAAGACTTCACTGGAGGAAGTAACTGCAGATGTGGTGGGAATAATAAGAAAACCAGAACTAAAAGTGGAACCTGAAGATATTATTTAATTACTACTGTCTCATGATAAAACTTTAAGGGCTGACGAGTTAGTTACTTCTTATGAATGAGCAAAGAAAATGATTTCTTGAGATGGAATATACACCTCGTGAAAATGCTGTGAAGATTGTTGAAATGACAACAGAGGATTTAGAATGTTACATAAACTTAGTTGTAGCCATCAACATCAAGTCAAGTCCCTCCACCAGCAAAAAGATTATCACTTGCCAAAGGCTCAGATGCCGGTTAGTATTTTTTTTTTTAAGCAGTAAAGTGTTTTAATTAAGGTATATACATTGTTTTATTAGATATAATGCCATTGCATACTTAATAAAGTATAATACTGTAACCATAACTTTTATGTGCTCCGGGAGACCAGAAAATTCTTGTGACTCCATTTATTGTGATACTCATTTCATTTATTTGGCCTGGAGCCGAACTGCAGCATCTCCAGGGTATGCTGTGCTGCTGCTGTGCCTGCCACCTGCAGTGGCCCCATGCTCCCTGCTCTCATGCCTCTGGTCCTTACGCATGCTGTTTGCTTTGCTTGCTCTTTTGTTCTGCTTTGTTTACAGGGAAAAATCCTACTTACAGTTTAAAATTCATGTCTTTCAAAAATTTTGCTTTAATCTCCTTAAGCTGAGGGACTTTTCTCTATGCTATGAATTACTCTATTTTAATTCCCATATAAATGTTTGTTTCCCCTCCATATCTATAAGCTCTTTATCTTTGCATTCCTAATATACAGCAAACTGTCTATTGTACAAAGAGTAGGAGCCAAACAATATTTTTGAATACATTGTCAAATTAATTAACTGATAGCTTAGAGCCCTCCATTTATATGTTTTTGATCTTTAAAATCCTTAAATATATTTTGTTCTCCTGCCAGAGTTAACACTCATATGTTATTTTTCTACCCACTTGCACAGACTCGTAAGGTCTTCTTCTCCTTCTTTTTTTAATCCCATCTGTGTGTGTCTTCATCAGCTAGGAGCATTTAATGTCTCCTTAACTTGGAAATCTCATGTGAGCTTTTACTTCTGGAGCACTTAAAAAAGACATTAAATAAGTGTCTATCCTTGAGGAGCTGAATTCTTTATACTTCTCCATCCAAAGAAAGCCCCAATCAACACTGTCATTTAATTCCTATTTTGACTTGGTTTAAAATTTTAGGGTAAATAGACAACATAGGAATGTTTGAGTCCATGGTGTTATCAGTTACAATAAACACCATCACAGCCTTCTGTTTAGAAGGCTGCATTCATTAGTTCCCCTTTTGTTTATGTGCCCATTTATTACATTAAATTTATCCTTTGGGATATCCTTTAAGAGAAATTATCTTGCCTTCTTTATTCCCTTCCCTAAATACTCTGTAACCTGCATTTCTTTTCCCCACCAGCTGCCACAATACCTCATTTTGTTGCCTTCACTAAACCTGCCCTGTATCATAGACTTGATCAGGTTACAATTTGGTATCAATGCTCATTAAACATTCTGTAATTGCCTTGGGTAGAGATAATGAACTTAGGCTCAAAAATACATTTGATTTTTTAAATTCTAAAGTCCCTACCCTTACACCATTAAAGTCACCATAATTTACCATTAAATATACATAGTCACCATCATAGTAAAAGAAACAACATTTTTAACTTTAGCCTTTTTAATAATATATGTTCACAAACTTCTTTCTTTCAGAAACTACCTAAATGTTGATCCTGGCATTCTAGATAAAAGAAGTGTATGTTATGTGTATGTCACTTCAGGGGGAATTATGTAATAAGTTTTGGAATACTGATGCAGATAATTTTCTTTAGCTTTTTCTGAATATTTATACTTTGTATTGTTTTCTTCTGAGGAGTTGTGCATCTTATTAAAACAATAATTTATTTATCTTTTCAAAACATTAAATTACTTACCCTCTGAGTTACACTGAGGTAAATGTAGGTAGTGCTATAAAATTATGGAGAATATGAAATTCACTAAGACCACAGCAGGACAAAGACAGTACAGCAAGTGTGATAAATTTAAGGAATAAAATAGTTCTGTACTCTTTTTATAAGTCTCTACCTTTTTCCAAGTACATTCGTCTCCTGATGTGCTACTTACTCAATTTTTATGTTGGGAAAATATCATTACCCCCATTTTTATGGATGGAAAAACAGAAAGTGTAGAAGACTTACCCAGCTCATAGTGCTAATGACAAAGATGAAACTAGAACCCAGATCAGAAATATAAGGCAGAAATCATAGCAAATCCAAAAAACCACGAAGTTTCTATTCTTGGGTAATTAGTGAGTATGAACAACCGGTTGACAACTACTTCTGACTCTCCTCCCTGTGTCTTGTAAATAAGCTGATATCCCCCAAAGCCTGCATAAAGTAGTTGGCAGCCTTTATTTTCAGAAAACAAGGAACTAAAAATACAGTAGCACAGCCATTTATTAACCTCAGGCAACATCATCCTTGGTAGCAGAGTCTTGGGAAAAACGTGATTTGAAAGACGTAGGTTTAGATCTCGGTGCTTTCACCAGCCTCCAAATCTTCTTATACTAAATACCTATTTAGTTAAAATGGAGCTTAGTAATTCCAGCCTTACAACTTCAAAACTTGTTGTGATGATCAAGAAGAAGCTCTGTCTAGAAGCACTGCATAAACTATGTCATTGTACAAATACAAGTCCTTGTCTTTGTATCACAAATGAGGGAAACACTTCCTGTGCAGGAGGGAGTGTGGCCTGACTACTGAGATCGTGCCTTAGCAGTCACACTGACTTAGGTTACAGTGCGAGAAATGCCACCATCCAGCTCTGTCCCTCTGCTTAGGAACTTAGACTCTCTAAACCTCAATTTTTTCATCTTTAAAATGGGGAATAATATTTATCATGAGTTTTTTATAAGAATTACACAAGACAGTATATGTGGAGTATGTAAGCTATTGTTCAGGTCCCTTGAATTACTTTTAATCTAGAGGAACCAGTATAAAGGACACAGGGACAACAACTAAGGGGGGTAGAAATGGGAGGGAAGTGGGGGCATGGGGGAGGGGTGGGCTGGGATGGGAGAAATAAACAAAACTGTACTTGAAAAATAACTAAATAAAAATTTAAAAAAATAAACACTTTATTTATGTTAATGTTTTTAGATTTCCAGAAAAGTTACAAATATAGAAAAGGGAGTTCTTGCCTACTTTTCCCTTGATTCCCTTTATTGTTAATATCTTTGATTTGCCACAATGAACAAACAAACAGTGATGAATTACTGTTAACTAAACTCAGACTTTATTTGGACTTCAGCAATTTATCCATGAGTAATTGGTTTCTTTTCCAGGATCCAATTCGGGGTTCCACATTGCATTTGATTGCCATGTCTCCCCGATATCCTCTGGTCTGTCAGAGTTTAAAAGTCAGTTTCCTTGTTTTTCGTTACCTCAGTAGTCTTGAGGAACGCTACCTAGGGTATCGTGTAGAATGTTCTCCCAGCTGATTTTGTTTATTGTTTTTCTGATGGTTAGACCAGCACTGTGGACTTTTAGAGAGAATAAGAGAGAGATGAAGTGCTCTTCTTGCCACAGTGTACCAAAGGGGACATGATATCCCTGAGACACCACTAATGATGCTAACCTTCACCACTTAGCTGAGGTAGTGCTTATCAGAGGCTTTTACTGTACCCTGAGTGAGTTTTGACTAGCTATCACTTGTGTAGGACTTCTCTTCCCTCTCTTCCTGCTGTTCGGAATGCTTTTCATTTATGGTTACTGAAACTGTCATCCCAGTGAAAACATCTTCTGTGACCACCAAACCAAAACAGCTTTCTCTGCTCAAATCAGTTCCAATGACATTTTACTTTTGTGGGGGATTTTTTTCACAGCATTTATCATTACCTGAAATTGTCTAGTTTCTTTGTTTACCTAGTTTATTGTGTCACTTGGCCTCCTCCCTGTCAAACAAGAACATAAACTTCAGGAGAACAAGGTCCTTGTAGGACTGTTTACAGCTGTACACTCATAATCTACACAAGGGCTAGCACACACTAAGTGCCCAATAACTATTTGTTGAAAAAGTATCAGAGAAAGAAAGATGTAGGATTAAGTTGTGAGTAAGTGAAAGAGTGGAAAATAGTAGAATGGTGGGAGGTTCAATTTAGTATCTGAAGTGAATTGGTTTAGTTTTAATGAGGTTAAATGCCATCATCAGCATCTATGGAAATAGGTAATCAGTATTCTTATAATTCAAATTCTCTTTTAATACACTTAACAACGTGAATGCCAGAGTATTTTTCTGCCTTGTAAGGATATGAGTGACAAATGTAAGATCTACATCGGCACCATCGTGACCTTTATTTGCTAACTGGCTCAGCTTTCCTGTTATAGAACTTTTAATGGAATGTAAAATGGAATGTAAAAATGATTGATGATCTTGATTTTAACTTATAGATGACTTACTAGTGTCTATTATCTTTTCATTTATATTGACAGAAAAATAGAGCTTCTTTGTATAAATCTCCCATAATTCATTGTGAAGCAACTCTCTTTTTATTTTCCTCCTCAGGACTTAAAATCTCCAAATCAGAGGGATGAAATTGCAGGGGCCCGGGCCTCATTGAAGGAGAACTCCCCACTCTTGCATTCAATTTGTTCAGCTTGTTTGGAACATTCTGATGTTGCTTCCCTCAAAGCCAGCAAGGACACAGTTTGCGAAGAAATTCAGAATGCCCTCAATGTAATTTCAAATGCTTCCCAAGGCGTCCAGAACGTGACGGCCCCAGTGGAGTCTCAGGCGGCAACCCTGGGAAGTGCCCTTGATGAGCTTGAGGTAAGTCAAAAGAAAGATAAAATATGACTTGATATCCCACTATGAAAGTAAACAGAAGTGGGACTTCAGATCCACGTGCTGGAGTTTAGAGCATGAGTAGATAAAGGTCCAGTCATCCAATTATACTTACCATTGTGTCGTATCTTGCAATGGATCAATTAGCAGGAAGACCTCTGATTCCTTTACATCTCTGCCCAGGAAGTCAACAAACTTAAATTAGGGATTGTTAATTAGGTTTTAGTGATGACTTTATTTTATACAAATCAACTTATGAAATGTAGAACTTTTTCATTTCACAAATGCTTATTATTGTCACTGTTCTTTGTGCTTGGGATATAATAGATCATTACCCCCATGAAGCTTACATTCTAACAGGGGAATATAGGCAAAAACAAAAAAAATAAAAGCAATAAACATAGATAAGTAAGCTGTATAGAATGTTGCGTTGAGAGAGTGAGATATTATCAAAGGCTTGAGGAAAGCTAGAGGATCAGCAGAGGAGATCTAGAACAAGGGCTCGAAGGCATGTCCCGGTGTTTAGGTGACAGCACCAGAGCTGGGTGGTGGGTGGGGAGCACCAGGGGGTAAGTAGTAGAAGCTGAGGTCAGAGACCCTGTAAAGTTAGGTTATAAAGGGCCCCGTGGGCTTTTAAGGACTTTGGCTTTTACTTCAAGTTAAATGAGATCCATTGTAAGGTTTCAAGCAGAGGAGTGACATGCTGATACTACAGTGACAGTGTGTGGAGCATAGACAAAAGGGAAATGAAAGGAGAAGCTGAAAAATAATTTCCAGACAGCTGAGTGCTCCAGCTCTTTCGGGCAGGAGGCCATTGTAGTAACACAGGTTTACATGCACTGCCTCGTTCCACCTCACATCTTAGTTTGGGCCAGGGTGACATTAGTGAATATTAAGACTGAATTTTGTAAGGAGACCCGACGAGATTCGATAGAATGGATGTGGCATGTGGGAGAAAGGGCGTTGCAGGCTGAGTCCTCCAGGAGCATTCGCCAGATGGAATTTGAGATACAAGGTGTTACTAGGAAGTATTTTGTGTGAAAGGAAGAGAGGAGAAGCAGGACTAAGCAGAGGAAGAAATCTACTTGCGGGCCACACCCACAAAGCCTGGACCAATCAGCAGGGAGCTCTGGAGAGAAGGTTGTTCTTGAGTGTACCCTGTCTGGCAGAAAAGCCAGGCCGGATTCCATGCCTTTTTCAATCACTTGAAGCAGGTCATCCTGCCCAGTGGGATGCAGCCCTCTGCCGCTGAAACAGATTCCGAAAGAACTGATAACTGGGGGCCGGTCTGCTGCCTTCACTCCCCACAGCTGGGCAAGTCCTACCTGGAAGGGGAATGGGCAGTGTACATCTGTGTCTAGCACATATCACTGCGAGGCTTTGTTTTGTTTGGTTTTGGCTTGGCAACTGGTTGGATGAAGTTTCCATCAGCTATCATGGGGACTACTGTGGGTGAAGCTGGTCTTGAGAAGAAACTCAGTTTTCAACATGTTGAGTTTGAGATATTTATCAGACATTCAAGTGTGATGTCAAAGATCATTGGCTACCCAAGTCAGACATGTAGTTGCTTAATGGGGACAACAGTGGATAGTGCTTAAGGATAAGGGTCCTGAAGGCCAAATGTCTGGTTTCTGTCTCAGCTGTGACTCTTACTACCCATGTGGCCTTAGGAAACTTATTTTATTTAACTTTCAGTTTTCTCTCCTATAAAATGGGGATAATAATAGAATATATCTTGTCATATTGTTAGAATCAATGAATTAATAATGCATTTAAAATGCTTAGAGAGTGCCTGGCGCTCAGTAAATTTTAGCTCTCATTATTATGAATGGAAATGACTATTTGGAGGCAGATTCTTCTATAATGAAGAAATCAATGCTACTAAAATGATTAAGTTTTATTAATAACTTAAAAATAAACTAAATGCATATAACATATAATTCCTATGTTGTTCTTAATTTTATTAGTTTCAGGGTAAAAATATTAGATACTTTATTTAAATTTAGAATAAGCTTTTTGTATGCTTTTCTGTTATGTGTTTTTTAAAAAGTACCTTCATTTCTAATCCACTACTATTCAATTTCTAATTATTGGCATCCACATGAAAACTTATTAAATTCTAATTATTGGCATCTATGTGGAAAATTTTGGAACTACTCGTTTAAATAGGGTAGAAGATCAGTGGCAACTGTGTAACAATACCCCATCATCTTTTTGTTTGCTCTGCGTGATGAGCACTCAATGAACTTGCCCTTTAGCTGTGTGCCTTGTCTTCTATCAAGATTGACAACTCCTTATGGGCAAGACTGATTCTTACTAATTTTATATCACTGGTACTAGTAGAATGGCAGGTCCCCTATGAATTAAAAATTAATAGTTTTGATAGCTGAACACTTAACGTGAATTTATCACTTAATTATTAGAGTCCCTATAAGCATTTTTATTTTTTTCACAGAAAATAAAACAGACTTACATAGGTTATGTAATTTGCTTGAGTCAGAAGCCTAGCGAGTGATACTAGCCAGGGTGTGAATCTCATCACTGATTTCTGAAGATATTGTGCTATATTGAATTCTTATAGATAGAACTTAATGTGCTTAATTAAAATTCAACACAATTTATGCTGAGATTCTTAGCCTCTGTGAACCAAATTGTATAATTTCCCAGCTTCTCCTTGAAGAGCAAAGGATTGGACCATAGATCTAGTGCCCCAAGTTTATGACTGCTACCAGGGCAACTGTCTCCTAATTTTCCTATTTTGGGGAGCAAATGAGGCCTGGTATTTCTTAGTCCCTTGGGACCCTAGCATATAGGGCCCAGTTTATACATTCTGTATTCCTAGGATTCTAGAAGACAGAAGATTTCCAAATTGTTCCTCCTCCTGGGACTTCTGTTTTCTCGCTTTAGTTGACAGTGGCTATTACAGGCAAGGAATGGCAGTGGTCAGAGAGGAGGAAGAGAGAGAGGGAGCGAGAGAAATGCAGCGTTGGTGGGAGGGGGCATAGGAGTGGTGGTAGTTGGAGTCACCCCTTCTCAAGCTGTGTGGCTCACTCACTTCTTCACAGCAAGGCAGGAGGGGGTCCCAAAGGTATTTCCCTGAAATCCTAATACCGTCTCAACAACCTTTAATATTCAGTTCCCGTCAAAGCTAGGGATGTCCCAGCTAGTGCAAATGCTTGAATTTTATATCTATTTTTATATTCAAGTTATAAATAGCTGCTGAAGCTGTCTGAACTAGATAAAGCAGAATTTATGAGCATTTAGCCCTTTAAAATGATTTTGTAAATTAAATGGTTGCACTTTTATTTATTTATAGGAAGCAGTATTGGTAAAGGATCCAAAATAACCTTTGCTCTGTCTTGCTTCTGTAAATATAATACTTTGAAATAAATTGTAGTAAATACGCTGTTGGGAGTAAGTCTCATTAAATGTTTATGGTGTGGAAATGTATCAGCCTGCTTACTCAACAGCTATCGTGCGGAAGTTTCATTTACTCTTTCATTCTAGCCCATGCCTGGTCGTGGATATGAAACTTGAGATTTATTGGTGGAGAATATAGAAGTCGAATTAGAATATTTTACACGCTAAATCAATACATTTATTGGAAAGGCTAATATGAATAATAGGGCATTTCTTCTGCATTTGTGTCAGAATGAGAGTTGAAAAGTGTTAAATTGCAGATTAACAGAATTTTGAAAATATCTTTAAGCAAGAGACTTTGCCAGTGAAAATTGCTTTGAAACTCCAAGTTGATCAAGACAATGCTTTCTCTTGTATAGAGAGAAAAAGCAACTGTTGTCACCTGGTCCACAGAATTATCCAGATCATTTTGTGATAAAGATGATAATTGCAAAGGAGTTTCATAGTATCTTCTTATTTTCAAAGAGCTATCATATTTATTTTATTGTCCTTTTTATATATGTATTTATGTATCATCATTCCTATATTTCTTTATTTACTGTTGTATCTCCAACACCTAGGACAATGCTTTTATACCTAGTAAGTGCTAGGTGAATATCACTGAATAAATAAAGGAAGAAAAGAATGAATAGAGGAATGCTGGATGTCATTTTGTGATATTGAGCACAGAGCATTTTCCCTTGTCCCAGTTTTCCAACTGGTAGTATATGTACTTGGGGTGGGTGACTGTACTTTACCGAACTTTTAACTGGAGCATGACGTTACGGTGAGGTAAACCACCAGAAATATATCTAAATGATACATGGCTCAGATTCTTTTCTTTGATAATGGAGCACAAAGAGAAAACATTATTTTCTCATAGTAGCTATCTAGCCTTAGTTTAGGTTCCCTGCAACTGCCAAGGTATGCTGCCTTTTACTAAGAGTAATAATTTGCAGAATATAGTCCTTATATTTTTATGTTTTTATCTGAAGGAGAAACAAGACCCCTACCAAATGGATTATCTATCATTTAGGAGGTAAAGAAGAATAGGAGGCCTTACTAATATCTAAGAGCACTTCAACATAATTTTTTAAAAAATGATTTGGTTTCTAAAAATATAGTAAAATAAAATTTAAATGATGGATAAAATATTTTTAAACACATACAATCCAGTAGCTGACTTAGGAAAATCTGAGGTCAGCCAGATAGCTGAAATCCAGACTAGCAAGCCAGCACCAGCAGCATTATGCTGGGAGATGGGGGGAATTTCTTTTTCATTATGTCCTGTAGCTAGGATTTTGAAAGACCATGAAGCAGGGACAGAAGACAAAGCCTATATACTGCCAACTGGAAAGTCACCTGAGATGCTCTCACAGAGCTGAGAAGCCTTAAATTTGATCACCTCATTGGACGAACAAGACAAATACCAGCCCCTACAGTGGGAGATAGTATGAAGACTTGGCTGGTTTAACCTTGGCTCTGGGTGGCTCAGAAAAAAAAAGAATAGAAAATACCTTGGAAATTTTCTAACAATAAATCTGACCTTATCAAGACATTGGGTCAGAATTTATATTATCTATATA